GTTGCTTCTGCCACCTGCCTTGCCCTGAGCACCAGCCCCTGCTCCCTGCAGCCACCACTGCTGTCTGACACCATCCCTTCTGCTGGCCAACCCCCTCCCTCCAGCTCTACTCTCCTTTTTTGGAGGTTTTGGAAACCTCCAAAGGTTTTCCACCTTCCCCTGCACTGATTTACCCAAGGACCTTCTGGAGAGATGCAGGCAAGGGCTGCTATCCTCACCTGAGCTGTGGGCTCACCAACCCTGCCCCCTTCCCTCAGTCCTTGGCATCAGGGAGCGTGCAGAGCAAGGCTTGGTGGGTGAGCCAGCGATTGACAGAGATGTGCCAAAATCAAGGAGCAGATGCTACTTCCTTGTAGCTCTTTCTAGACCTCCAGGCATGACTTTTTCCACTCCTCAGCTCTCTGCAGTCCCCATCATAGGCTGGTCCATCATTAGCTATATTATTCCAGAAGATATAGCCTGAACCCTTCTCATGCGAGGTGCGGGAGCAGGACCCTCCTTCCACATGGATGAGGGAATGACCCCTGGGGCTCTGGGGACCAGGGAAGGACCCTAATCCTTGTGGAAGCGAGGAAAGACCCAGCCTCGCCATGGACTCACAAGACTCTGCACAGACCTGTACTTCACACCCTCCAAAGCAGTGTGACGATCATTGGTAGGAGCACTCAGACTCTTTGACTCTGCAGTCCCCGGGGAACCCCTTACTTGTCTGTGCCGTGACTGTCTGGCTGGTGGTCTCCATGCAGGCAAGCGTGGCTGTCACCTCAATCTCGTAGCGCATACCAGGGGTCAGCCCGTGGAACCAGAAGCTGGTGATGTTGGGTCCAGCAGATCCATTCTGCAGCGGTGTGCCCGACTCCAGGGAGGAGAGGGCGAGCGAATATCCCTCAGCACCCCCCTCTGGCTCATCCCAGGACAGAAGGAGGGAGTCCGACCGGCCATGGTCACTCACGCTGAGGTTCAGGAGGGTCCCTGCAGAGGCAAAACTGAAACCCTCAGCAGGGAGCTGTGGTGCTGGTGGGTGGCCAGCCTGCAGGGCCAGGCTCGCCAGCCCACCCTCACTGCACACCTTGGCCTGGGCCATCACCATGGGCACTGTCCCACCGTGGTCAGGCCCCCTGACCTCAAAGGCTCTCAACAGCCTTTGGAAAACACAAGAAGGCTCAGAAATCCCCATGGACTGGGGTCAAAGGCATGACGTGAAAGAGATGCTTCTAAGCATGCAACATCTCTTCCATTGGAGAAAGAGCAGAAGGCTTCAGGCCATCACATGTTTTGTCCAGACAGCCCCGGTTTATGGCAGAAAAGTTGCCCTGGCTGGGTATGATCCATTACTCACCACCTGGGTTGGTTTGAGCCCCCAGAAAGATGTTGAAGGGCCCTGGGCCCACCTTGCAGAAGCAAGACAATGGACAGTGAGGGAGCAGGTTGGGTAGGGCAGTGGGGCCAACACGCTCCCTGCAATAGTCTCTGTCTCTGTGTGGGCTCTGACAGAGGAGAGGGTAAAGGCTGCTTTGGAGGGATCCAGGCACTGACTCCCCACTGTCCTGCCCGGTGCAGAGATGACATGGGAAGAGCAGGACGCTGCGTACGTGGAGGAAATGTGGGGCACAACCCCCTGCTGAGGTGTGTCCCTGCCTGGGCCTTGCTGCAGCAGCAGGTCAGCACGCTGTGGCTGCAGGGCCGGTGCTGTGGCATCCAGATGGCGAGCGTCTGAGGACAAGGAAGTGGCATACGGGGCTTTGCCTAATTGGTGGGTCAGTGGCCAAAACTGCTATTGAATCCCTGCCCTTAGAGTTGCTCAGGAACCACCTACACAAACAGGGGCCAGACAGAGCCTGTCTGTTGGGACCAAGCTGGCAACGTGACTCTTGCAGGCTCCATCTCTGCCTCCCCATGCCTCCGCTAGCAGATCGTCATGTTCTCCCCATCCCCAGCCTTGCTGTGAGCCACGAGCTCTCTGTTGCTTTCAGCCTTTGGGAAACACCAGAACAGCTCTAGTGCTAATAAGACATTTGTGTAATAATTAGCACTTAAAATTTATGACATACAACATTTTGTAACAGGCTTACAGGTGTTCTGGCATGGCAAGAAAGTTTTAAACAAGCACAGCTATTGCCCCAGAGGTGTGCCCGGGGGCTGCCTTCACACAGCAGAAGAGGAGCAGTGTGGGGTGAGCCCCAGGGGCAGGGGACTGCTCGGGTGTTGTCTGTGGCCTTACGACAAAGCTGGACAGCATCAGAACTACATGCAACTTCTGTTTCATGAAGTGCCATGGTTTGGAACCTGCGAGCTTCACTCAGCAGATGGGTGCAAAGGGAATTGGGGAAGCTAGATGGACACAAAAGAGGAGCACATAGTCCCCTTGGGAAAGGCCTTCTCAGTGCCATCCCTGAGCAGTTCAAGTGCAGAGTTAGGAACAGACTGCTCGGGAAGGGTTATCTGAATGTAGCTGGGTGTCCATGCATCAGGTGTCTACACCTGGGCCAGCTGCCCGGGGCTCCCCTTGCTGTCAGCAGAGACCCAACTGCAGCAGCTTGCGGAGCACAGGGCATGGTTAATCTCCTCCTGAAGACAGCCAGCAGGGTTGTGCCCTGCGTGGAGTTCAAGAAGGGATGTTTTTTCACTGCAGGCTCCTTCTTATCTCATGAAGGTATGAGTTCTCCACCCATGTTTGCCTGCTTCTCTCAGGTATCCAACAGACTGCATCACCTGCCTCCGTCTGTCACTTGGCAATCATCTTCTGCACCTCTAATACTAATCCTCCAGCCCTGAGGGCCATGATCACAACGCTGCTCACATCCCCATAGATAAGCTCCGCTAACCACATCACAGACAGCCACATCCAGGTACACCCCATGCTCTGACTGGTGCCGGCAGATCATCTGGGAGAGTTCTCAGTGGCACGGGCCAGCGCTGTGTGGCCACCGCGCTGGCTCCAAGCACACGGCAGTGCTTGCTGGATGCTGGGCCAGTGTGGCTGTGCTGCTCCTCAGCCAGCTCGGCACAGCCGTGGGGCTGCCCCAGGGAGCATGATCATGCCCAGCCAACTGCAGAGGCTCCATGCAGGGCACCTATGGCTGTGCTGCTGCTGAGCCCGATTGATGCTGTGTGGGAAGGAGACAGCTTGGAGCCTTGTCCATCTCACACTGCCCCCCATAAAGCTGGTTGCTGGAAGAGGATGGGGCTGACACCCTCCCTTTCCCTGGCCACGACCTGCAGCCTGCAGTAAGTCTAAAGCAGAGTATTTACAAAGCTGCTCAACTCCAAGAGTCCTGCCCCAGCACATCTGCTCATCTTACAGCTCCTGGGCATCAAGACCACCCTCCACATCCTGGGGACTTCTTTGCTTTGACTTACCTCTATCACTGGGTGCATCCTGTCCCTCCAACCCTGCCTGTGCTGTCCGGTTGCATCCTTCGCCCTGGGGGATTGAAGGTGTCAAGTGAGAGAGGGGAAACATGAGGTGGTCTGAGCTGAGACCAACGCCTGGGAGAGATGCCTTGTGCCAGGCCAGGGGTCAGGCTGGCCAGGCACAGGTCCCACGCAGCCATGGCATCTGGGGGCTGTGACCCCTCTTCGCAGGAGAGCCCAGGTCACTGCTCACATTGCCCTCCCCTAACCAAGGCAGGGAGACAGACTCAGCAGATGTAGCTTGGGGGCTGCCCTGGCCTTTTGCATGGGTCCTGGGACTGCAGACCAACATGAGGCCATGCCCACAGGAGAAGACGTCCCACCAAAACAGCCAGGGCACAAGGGGAAGACTTGGGGAGGGAGGGAGCTCTGGACAGGCCCTGGCAATCTCATTCCCTCTACAGGCACTACCCCCTTCCCACTATCACGGGGGGAGAGGATGGAGGGACCCTAGACCTCAGTCTAGCTGCCATCCCCCACAGGCTGCAAAGCGAGGGCTTGGCCTGAGAGCTCCAGAGCATCCAGCACCCTCCACGCTGCAGCGGGTGCTGAGCACGCTCGCGGGACACCCGACTCCCCACAGTCTGCTCGCGAGCAGGGTGTGCCCTGCTTAGGTTGAGGCTAGTTCCCTCCACATTAAAGGAAATATCTCTGCCCACTCCCTGTCCCGCAACAAGCCACAGAGGAGCAATCATCTTTCTTTAGTTATTTCCCCCTTGGCTCTGCTGGCTGACTCATTTCTGGCTCCCCCACCGACTGCGGTGCTTTTGGGAGCATGTGTGCAGAGGGGAGCGAAGGGGCTCCAGACCCCTGGGAATAGCAGCCAGCCAATTCCTGGGGCGAGGAGCTGTGCAGCCATGGCAGCAGTAACACACTCTGATCCCAAGCGCTGGGGCGAGAGGGCATGGAGAGGGGGGAGGAAAGTGGAGGAAAGAGCCAGCTCGTAATTGCAAACGTCGCTAATTTGGTGCAGCTG